AATGTCCATTGACTAATGAAAAAACAATATGTAGTAAATAAAATCAAATATGCAATCAGGAAGGGGTAATCTTATCTCTACTTTAACAAGTAATTCCTTGTCATTATGGATTTTGAGCATTTTACTTTAGGTTTACTGGTTACTTGTATTTACATTTTTTGCCTTGACTATTAATGTCCATTTATCTATTGAGTTGTTTATACTTTTCTTGCCAACTTATAAAACTAATTTGTTTATTGTGAACAATCTTGCATCTATCCTCTGATTTATGTTTTCCACAATCTAATCTTTATTTTTATAATATATATAAATGCTAAAAATAAAGAATATTCCCATACAAAAATTTTGTGTGGGAAATGTACCACACAAATATGGTATACCATATCATCTGATATATTCAGGTACATCTATTTTCATTGCTTCTGGTCATCTTAATTATGAAGGTTTCTCCAAACCTTCTATTTTATCCATTTTTTATAATAAAACTTTAACTTAGTGAGAAATTTATTAGTACAAGATAAAAACAAACTTTATTTTCTTGTAATGACTAGAGACAGTTTGATATCAGAATTTATTAAGTATATTATTCATTCCTTGCTAAATTGGTTACCATTCTTGCCATACTCTAAATTCTCCCAAGTAAGAGAATGTATTTCTGAATTCTCTCTTTTGTTGACCTGAATGTCTGTTTTTACAGCAGTGCCTTATGTTATGTTTATGGTGACTTAGTGAGAGGTCCTCTATCACAGCAAAATTATCACTCATTCTTCTGTACATATTTTGTTGTTATTATCTTGTTTCCCTTTATATAAACATTAAGATCCTTTTATTCAATTTTTAGAAGTTAGAATCTAATCAGAATTGTGTTAAATTTATTATTTTTTAAATTAACATATTTATGATACTAAACTTGTGCCATCCCATATAGAACCATATAGGTTCATCATATAGAACTTCTGACTTTTTGTTAGGTTTATTCATAAGTAATTTATAGCCACTATTACCAATAAGAAGGAATCTTTATACTTTAGGTGCTTATTACCAATATTGAGAAAATCTATGGATTTTTCTTTACCTGTTATCTAGTCATATGACATTAATCCAGTATTAAATTTAGGTGTTTATGCTTCACTTACATGGTCTCTCTAGGTATAAAATCGCAGTGCAAATGAGATTATGGTAGCTCTTTTGTGTTTACATACTAAATGGTTCATTTTTTTCCAGCCTAAACAACAAAAATTATAATGATAATGACAATAGTGGGAATACCTACCAAGTTGATGATCTCAATTAAAAAAGTAACAAATATTTTATAATTTAGAAAAATATTGCTATTCAAATATTTCATAATCTAGGGAGTTTTTTCGTTTTTCATGTCATTTTCTTTTTTTACTTTGCTTAGAACAAGAATCATCACACCCATAGTGGTAAGAGGGCCATACAGAAAATATTTAAGGTTTTACAGGACATATGGTCATTGTCACAACTACTCGGTTCTACAGTTGTAGCATGAAAGTAGTCACAGACAATACATAAATGAATGGATATATTTTTGTGCTAATAAAACTTTATTTAAAAAAATGGAAAGCGGGAAGATTTGGCGCAGTAACCATTAATTGCTGACTCCCAGCTGAGATTTTTATTCAGAATTGATACATAACCTTTAAAAAGAATTTCTAGGGGGAAGGAGTTATTAGGGGGTTAAATGGTAATGAAAAAAATACAGTAAAGATTAAATCAAAAAAGAAGAAAATTTTTTAAAAAAGAAAGAATATCATAATGGTTGAGAGTACATACTTTGAAGATAGAATGCCTGGATTTGAAACCTATCTCCACAATTTCTTATCTGTATAATGTTGGATGAAGTACTTACCCTTTCTTTGTTTCATTTTTTTTCTTGTGAAAATTACGTATAAAAATAGCATGTATTCTGCAAATTGCCATCAGTATTAAAAACCTATCAATCATAAAGTTTTTGTATTTTGTGCATATACTAGATGTTCTATAAATGCTTAATTAGTAAGTAATAAAATATCTTTTTGGTAGCCATTGATATCAGCATGTTTTAAATTACATTGATTTTCTAGTGGTTTATATTTTACTACAGTATATTCTTTTGATACTTACCTAGGTATAGTGCTAGTGTTCTATTTTTTCCATTATATTTACATTATAGGTGAATCTATAATTTTCATTTTATTGTATCTTTAATACTGGTATTAAATTTATGTATTTATAAATTAATTCAAATGTAATATACCATAATAGTATCCGCACTTCTGACACGAAATGTATGCATGGGGGCTGGTTCCCATACCAAACAATTCTTCCTACACACCGACTGCTTGTACTACTACAACTCAATTCAGTTCTGACATGAACTGCTCAGAGTTGATGCAGACCCCACAGGTACTGGACTCAGTCCCACTAACTGTCCCACTTGAGATGCCAATCACAAGTCCTAAACATCCTGTACTTCTGATTGCCTGCCATAAATCTGGGGTGCTTATGACCCCATCCTCAGATTCAATAATATGCTAGAATGGATCATAAAGCTAAGAAACATACTTCATTCATGTTTACAGCCTTTCTAAAGGATACTGTAAAGATACAGATAAACAGCAAGATGAAGAAATATATAGGGCAAGGTCTGGAAGGGTCCTGAGTTCAGGAGCTTCTGTCCTGTATAGTTAGGGTGTACCACCCTCCCAGAACATAGATGCATTCAGCAATCAGGAAATGCTACGAACTCCATTATCTAGAATTCTTATGGAGGCTTCACTACATAGGCATGAATGATGAAATCATTGGCTATTGTTGATCAAGTAAAATGCTAGCCCTTGTCTCCTCCGCAGAGGCCAGGAAAGAGGTCAAAGTGCCAAGTCTCTAATCATTGCTTGGACTTGCTGAACAGTCGTCATCCTGAAGCTGTTGGGGGCCCACAGCTACCGGTCATTTCATTACCCTACACAAGATTTATCACTCAGGAGAAACTAGGATTTTAGGATCTGTGTGCCAGAAACATGAGACAAACTCCAAGTATTATTTTTTTCAAACAGCCTCTCCTATAATTTTTATCATTTAGAAATATACAAGACTTTTAGATTGCTATGTCAGAAACCAGAGGAAAAAACTAAAGATATATTTCTTATGGTGCCACAAATATCAATTTATTATTTTAATGTATAAATAACTTTATTATGTGGATTTTCTGTTTTTAAAAGGTTATCTAGAATTTAGCTAAAAATTACCTAGTCCTGATAACATTTTAGTTGTCATTATTCACATTTCTGATACTTTCTTTAGAAGAACTGTTTTTTATTTTTTGCTTGAATATTTGTGAAGTTTAAAATTTCTTACTATAAGAATAAAAGGAAAATATTAATAACAGTTCAATCTAGTGTGGTATTTTTATGCAAAGTTATCTTCTATATTGTACATTTCAAAAGATTTCAAATTAAAAATAAATTTAAAAATAAAATAAGATTACTTTACAAGCTATGAATACTTAAATGACAGCTGTTAGCAGATAAAACACTAAAGGGTTTGAAAGATTTGTGTTAGTCTGTTTTCCCACAATAAATAGTGTTACAGTAGCTTAAACTTCCAGAGCTCACTAGCTTAAACAACAGGCATTTGCTGTCATGCTCATGGGTCAACTGTTTCTCAGTGGATATTCATAGGCTCAGCTGGTGGCTCTGATTTAGGCTAGAAGTTGGCCCCAGCCCTGCTCCAGGTATGCTCATTCTAGAGCTGCAGCAAGAACAACTACCTGGATCATCATTTTCTAGTGGCTGATCACTGGAGAGCAAGAGCCAGGCCAGACCACTCAGCCATGTTTAAGGTCTCTGCTCATTGTCATGTATACTAACTTTCCACTGTTCAAACAAGTCCCATGGACCACCCTAATTATCAGTGTACAGGGAGGCATACTGGGCCTACCATGGGAGGGTGAATGAATATTGATGAACAGTAATCCACACTATCACAGTTTTCAGATGAAAAGTTTATTTCAGGTTTGTTAATAACCACCCACAAAGGGATAAAAGGAGTAAACAGTGTTGAATTTCCCCACATTTATATAGCAGCTCCCAACCTGAGCTAGGGCTTCACAGGGTGTTGCCGGCACATGTGCCACCTGTGTACACTTAGAAAAGACACTTCTCTTCCTGGTGTTGGCACAGCCCTACGTGTACACGCCATGGTGAGTGTGGCTACCTGCAGCCCCACATGCCCAGTAGGTGAGGTTCATTTGTCCAGCTACGATCTTTTCAAGTCTTTATGATCGCCCTGGAGTCTCCTCAGGCAGAATTGTGAAATTAGAGAAATTTTACTTTAGAGCTTTTTTGTATACACCCTTCTCTTTTGTTGTTCCTCCACGTTCCTGTCAATCACCCGTATCCCAGCCCTGGACCACGGGCATCCCATCAAGTTACTTATGGGAAACTTGCCCTCACTCAAAACTGCCAGTCCTCTTCCCCAGGCCCTTAGCATTTCTGGTTGCCGACTGACAGAGAGTGTTCGTGTCCGTCTCATCAGCCCATGTAAACTCCGTGCATGTCTTAACACAGATGTGTCTGTTACGTGGGGTTTAGTTTGCTAGCCTTCTGATGGCTGATAGGAATTTCATCAAAGAAACATTTCGTGTTTGTGTCTTTTCATGCTTAAATTTTGTTTTAGGTCAGTTCAAATGTTTTATCACCATCTCTCTGGATGTAGAAAATGTTAAATATTTCAATAAATCTGTCTTCATATATTTCTCTGTAGCAAAGAAATCTGTATGTATATATAAATAAGTATAGGAATTTATATGCATCTAATGAGAGATACAATGTTCATAGTTAACTATTTGTATTGCACATAAGTTTAATAGTGTATTTACTTCATTGTGTTCCAACTTTGAAAGTACAATAGATTTATTATTTTCTAGAACTCTTTACTATTTATAAAAATTAATAATTCTTTATTGCTTCCTAAGACTCTCATTTTTTTCAATTTAGATTACAACTGTTGATGAAGAATATGTGATTGGCAAGATTTCCAAGCAGTGGACTGGTTTTGTGAGAGAGGCACTTACAGATTACACCAATTTTGATATTTGTTTCCCCTTAGGCTTTGATGAGAAAATAAAAGCTGTCATCCTTGGTGCATGTTTCTTCATTGTAAGTCTATTCTTTTTAAAAATATATATATTTATGTATTTTTAGAGAGGGAAAGGGCAGGAGAAAGAGTGGGGGAGAAACATCAATGTGTGGTTGCCTCTCATGTGTACCCTACTGGGGACCTGGCCTGCAATCCAGGCATGTGCCCTGAGTGGGAATCGAACCAGCGACTCTTTGCTTCCCAGGCCCATGCTCAATACACTGAGCTACACCAGTCAAGGCTCTAAATCTATTCTTGTTAGTCTTGGGTATTTCTCTAGTAGATTCAGTAAATTATATATTTTAATGCCTGCTTAAATTTATAGGTTTTATTCAAAGGGTCCCATTCAATCCTAGCTCTGAAATTGCACTTTCTCCTGATAGTCTGGATTCACAGATGACCAGTTTCTTGGGAAATTCTGCTTGGTTTCACATGGCAGTAAAAGAACCTTATGTGTTAGAGAGAGGCCCTGGTCTTTGGGGCTTCTATTTAAAAATTCAAACAGGTGCTTCAGGTAAGACTTCAAACATGAGCTACATGGAGCACAGCTCAGTGGAACAGGGAGATGTCATCCTGATAAGTTATTCCATTAGACCTTCTACTGCAGGAGTGTGAGCTGCAGTGAGAGTGTGCATGCAATCAAGCCACCAGATGGAACTGGCAGTTGAAAGGAAACACAGAGGATAGACAGTGATTCTGAACTTGTCTCCCATTAAATCACTCAGGGAGAGTTCAAAAGCCCCAACTACTAAATCATACCCAAATTCAACTGACTCAGAGGTTTGTAAAGGTCCCCAGGTGATGCAGTATGCAGCCAAAATCAAGGACTCCTGGGAGAGAGCAACAGTTCTCCACCTTAATTGCACACTAGAAACAGCTTGGGTAGCCTTTCAAACCCCCTGTGTCAAAACTGCACCCAGATACTGAATCAAAATCTCTGGAGATGGGACCAAGCCTGCAAACTGTTTAGATCACTCCCAAGTGACTTCAGTGTGCAAGCAAGGTTTGGAACGCAAGAGTGGACTTGAGGGAGCAAATTTTTAAAAAAGTAAAAGGTGAAAGAGTGCACAGAGAAAGAATAGTTACTTCAGTAAATAAATATCAGGAAAATGAAAAGATAAAAATAAAATGAAAAAGGGACAAACTATCAACATAGTAGTTTGTGGGCCATGTTTAGATATTGATTCAAATTAATCATTTAGAAACATTTACAACACATTTAGGGAAATTTAAACATTGGCTGTTTGCCCTGGTCAGCATAGCTCAGTTGGTTGTACTGTCAGCCCAAGGACCAAAGGGTTGCAGGATCCATACCTAGTCAGGGTGCATTCCCAGGTTCCATCCTTGGTCCGGGCAAGTAGAAGGCCACCCATCGATGTTTCTTTCTCACATCGATGTTTCTCTCCCTTTCCCCTTCCTTTCTTTCTCTCTGAAGATGGGGTGATGTGAAATATATGGTGTCTTTAGGGAAGAGAGGGTACTCTAAAGTGTTTAGATCAATGGGAAATGGGGCTGGGGTGATGTTTTGGCTTATTCGTAAATGACTAAGGGTTTCACTAAAGGATCTTCAAAGATCAGGCAACTTTTGCCCTGATTGGGTGGTTTGGATGGAGTGTTGTCCAGTATACCAAAAAGGTTGCAGCTTTGATTCCCATTCAGAGAACATACTAGGTTTGGGGCTCAATCCCCAGTGGAATGCGTTTGGGAGACAACTGATGGATGACTCTCTCTCTCTCTTTCTTTCTTTTTCCCCCCTTCCCCTCTCTCTAAAAATCAATAAACATATCCTTTGGTGAGGGGGAAAAAGATTAAGAAACTTTTTATAGAGAATTGTAATTCATTGAGAATGGTTTCATTTAATGTTGATTTTAAACTAGGCTTAACTATAATAGTTATAAATCAAAATTTTTGAAAGATAAATCCTGGTGTTTATGTGAGGAATAAATTTGAGAAGTAAAATTGCAGTAGTGCATTTGCCAGTTATTAGCAATAAGGATAAGATGATTTCTGTTGACAATATAAAGGAAAATGAGTGAGAGACATAAATTCCATAGGATGTGGCTGAAGTCATAGGGGTAGAGGTCTGTATAGACACTGATGAAATGAAACAAACTGGGCACATAGTGGACAGAGGTGGAAGACAAATGAAACCAACACCAAACAAAATTCTACTTCTTAAAAAGACTGTCATTCTTATACTTTTTTAAAAAAATTTAGATGAAACTCTAGTCACAGAAAAAGTTCTATTACTAGACAGGGATGAAAAAAAGTTGAGTAAGATAGATCGAAAGAGGAAGATTTCTAGGGGACTAGAAAAGGCAAAATATATTGAAATTACCAGATGATAATTAAACTCATGCAGATGTCAACAAATAAATAGAATTATAGGATTTAATTGCTCAGAAATGGAAAGCTGAAGGTAGAGTTTATCTAGCTAGAAACTCTTCCCAGATTTACTCATTACAGTTAAGTTTTCTTATTTAACAGGTATATTACTGTTTTCCTCAGAACCATTAGAATTTCTATATCAGAGAATTGTCTGTTTTGCTGCTGAACACTCATTTCTGTATTTTTTGTTTTTATCTAGGATTTCAGGATTTTTGAAAATAAGTTGTGTCCTAAAATATTTCAGACATTCCTGGGAGCAAGGCTGTGTTAATGTATTAATGAATGTCTCAAGCTTTGAAGTGTCTGTGCTTGGGACAATGAAGTGCTTGGGACTGTCAAAAGGATTATCGGTGTGTTTCTTAAAAATAATTATACCATGTTTAAATTACTCTGTGATGCCTTGTCATCCAGGTATATGATTTCACCCTCATATTATATAGTTTATTTTCTGTATCATTGCTTATAAACGTTTTATACATTTTCTCTGAATGTTCATTGTGTATTTGGGAGAAGTTACATAGAACATTTTACCTTTAGGAGAAGTTAAATATAGTGAAAATTTCTGAATATAAAACAAATACAAATTTTACTTTTTCCCAATAACATGCATATTAGTTAACTATTATTTGAACATAATTATAAAGGAAACTGAAATTATGTTAATATTTAAGTATGAATATATAGTATTTGCAGAATAACACTAGTTGTTACAAAGGAAGTAAATTCAGCTAGATCTATAAAGTATAATTTTATGTTATAATTACATTCATTGTCTACTTTGAGTATAAAAATGGAAAAATTAGACTATAATTCAAAAACAGTTTTGCATGAGACCTGCCCCGCTCCTGTCTCTGCCCCTGCCATCACTCACTATGCCTGAGCTAAGTAAACTTCTTAGGCCAGCATTCCTGCTACAGACCTTTTCTCTTTCAAGCTGCATCACCACCTATATCTTCACTTCCTCAACTGTCCAGCGGGCATAACAGTGTCTACTTTATTAGGTCAAAGTGAGAATTAAATGTTTTAACCTAGTCAAGGCTCTTGAGCAGTTTCCTGTAGGAAACCAAAGCAGAAAATGAAAAATGCTTTAGCGTTAGTAATGATCATTGGTTTTAAAATGAGAAAGTGGCTCCATCCAACATGCAAAAATTAAACTAAATTGTATCTCTGTATTGTGGCTTTAAATGACATATACAAATTATTCTGTATCCACAGATGAAGACTGATTCCCTTCTTGGAAGAAAGAGAATGTCTTCATACAAAATGCCAAACTGGAGAACCATTCTCATTTCAGAGCTGGGTAGAATACCATCTGGGTCCTGAAGCCTTGACTTCCCTTCTTAGCTTCATGGCCTCAGAATATGGTAAGTCATGAAAGAAGGAGGCAAATATCTATAGCATGAGACCAGATGAAATATTGTTAACTGAACAATACAGGATTTGAACTAGAAGTTCTGGATTTATAAGCAGAATAGGCCATAATATGCAAAGGTCAATTGGCCACAGACTTGTGAACTTACTTTTCCCTATACTAAGCATGCAAGTTAAACTTCAGTCTACCTTTAATTTTATGTAAAATAAAGTCGCTTAATTGTGCCAAGGGATAGCTTATAAATTTACCCATGTTGGAAGCCAGCTTGCCCATGTACCGCAATTTATTTCTCCCTATAAGATACTTATTAGTGTAGGAACAACAAAATAGTAAATACAGTTTTGCAATGCACAATTCAACCAAGCTTTCTGACAATATATATTATGAAAAGAGCCCCTTTCCTCTATTTTCCAATAACATGTTCTTCATTTTTGTCTGAGTTCTCCCCTTCAGTGCCTTAAATCTATATTTCTACCATCAACCTGATTCATGATGGTGCAAATATACTCTAAAATAATACATATTCTTCTGAGTACTTCTGAGCACTGACCAACAATCATTAAAATTCATCTTTCAATGAATAGTCTATTTAAGGCAATCTTAGCTTTTTTAAAATCAAGCTCCTCAATTTTTTTTCCATTTCTACTTCCAATTCCCAATACTACTACTGCATGTGTAGGTATCTGTTACAGTAGCACCACACTTTCAGAAACCAAAATCTGTATTAGTTTCTTATTGCTGCTATAACAGACCACCACAAACTTACTGGTTTAAACAACATGAATTTATTTCCCTATGGTTCTGGAAGTCAAAAGTCCGAAATGGGTCTTAATGGGTGTTGTGTATTGAATGTTTATATCCCCTCAAAGTTTGTGTGCTGAATCCTTAATATCAGTGTGACTGTATTTAGAGATGAGATCTCTAAGGAAGTAATGAAGGTTCCATGAAGATAAAAAGGATGGGGCCCTAATCTGATAAAATTAGTGTCCTCATTAAAAGAGACTTTGCTCACAACTCTCTTTTTCTGTGTCCATGCACTAAGGATAGGCCTTGTGGGGACACAGCAACAAAAAAGTGGCCTCTACAAGTCAGGAAAAGAGCTCTTACCAGAAGCCAACCATACTGGCCCCCTGAACTAAGACTTTCAGATCTGTGAGAAAATAATACACCAGGTTAACATGAAGGCATTGGAATGTTTTTATTCTTTCTGGAGGCACCAGGGTAGAATCCTTTTCCTTGCTTTTTCTGTCTTTAGAGAAATCCATTACT